TATTATCATTTTTGTAGAGCTCTTCATGGCGCATCTTTTGAAAAAAAAATCAAGATTTTTATCATTTATCTATGTTGAGATAGATGCAAAATAAAAAGTGTGCAAACATTTTGGGACACCCGGTATATCAGTGATCTGGTGTCCTTGTATTAGATCCACGGTTCACAAGACAATTTTTAGAAACTTACACTAGAACTGTTTTTTTTTCGTTTTTACTAACTGGAATCGTAGGTCTCTACTGAAGACTCGAACTTGCCTATTACTAGATTGATTATAAAGTACATAGACATAGACATTTCATCAGAAATAACTTCAATCAAAATTTGAAGCGTCAACTATTTAACTATTAAAAAAGTATGTGAATTCCCATGTTGGACATTTGTTTGCACTACCAACCCAGGTCGATGATTCTGGCGCTCGGAATCATCGAACTGAGTTCCAGATAGAACCGACCATCGGATCCAAGCATCCAAGTTCCTACCATTTTCCTGAATTTTTTGGCTGAAAACGACCCATATTTCTTAACCTAAGGACGGACGGTAGAATGGCAGCTAGTAGATGATCGATCATTTAAGTATCAAACTATCACCGAATGATTGTTGGTATATCAGCCATGTTTTGTCCAGTTTAAATCTTTTGTACTTCTTCAGCACTATTGACGTTTCTCTTTCCATTAAACTTTCGAAATTAAAATAATTCGATTTCTATTTGTAAGTGACATCTGTCTTCTAGTAATTCGAATTCTTTTCTTCTATTCGTTCTATTATCTATCTTTTATTGGATTAATATTTAAATAATCAAAATAGAAAAACAGAAATATTTTCCAAAAATTTCAACAATGACATTATCATTATTAGATGAAATTAAAATTGAAATTCGTTCTTTACTTATATCATCAAAAGATGGTCTTACTGAAGATGAATTATGTCATGATTATTCTTTATTTAATTCTCAACGTTTATTACCTTATGAAATTTTTGGTTATTCAACAATAACAAATTTTCTTAATTCATTAACTGATATTTTATATCGTTCATCAGATGGATATATTTATCCTATTGTTGATCATACAACTGAACATATATTTAAATTTGTTCAACAACAACGTACAAAGAAAAAAAAGATTAATACTAAACAAACATCATTTATATATAATCAACAAGAAAATGTTAGTAGAATGTCGAAAATTCAAAAATTTTTGTTTTCAATTTATTTAATGTCGTTGAATAGAATACATTGAGTTACCTATAAAAAAAAATTTTCAGACTTTTAGAAACCAGTTTTTTCTGAAACCATACGGAAAAAAGACTAAATTCTAAATATTATGATTAGAATCGTCCATTATCATAGATAGTTAATTTTCACTTTGGAGAACATTACAAGAATTATGTCTTATTCGAAAAACAAAAACTTTATGTATATAAGATTTTTTTTTAGTCAATTTCATCTGCACAATTAGGAAGTAACACTTGTAATGTTCTACAACGTGAGAAATAAATATCTATGATAATGAATGATTTTATTCTTTTACCCAATATTTCCAGGAAAAACTTGTTTTCAAAAATCGGAAAGGTAGTGTTTTTTTTTATAGATAACTCGATGTACTCTATCCAACGATATTAAATAAATTGAAAACAAAAATTTTAAATTTTCGACACCTTACAAAGAATTTTGATGGAAGGATTAATAAAACATAATTTTTCTTCCAAAAATCATTAACTTAAAATTTCTTTTTCATGATTTATAGTTTTCAATCTATCGTCATAAACAAAAAAGAACTGTTTCATTTGAACAAAAACATCGTACTATTGATGCTATCAAACCCTTTTCACCAAAATTCGAACGAGTTAATGTTACAAATGAACTATTACAATGTCTTCTTATGCATTTTCGACAACAACAATGACAATAATTTTTTTTTTAAATTTTCCAAGTCAGATATAATGAAAAAAAAATAGTATTTAATTCTTTTTAATAAACCATCCTTTTTTTTTTATTCTTTTCATGAAAATATGATAATTAAAATATAGATAAATTGAAACTTTTATTATATTTAATGAAAAATGATATTGAGTATTTTATTTCTTTGATATTTTATAATAAAAGAAAGAAAAAAAACTCAATGATTGTCGCATAAAAGAATCATTAATGGATTTATTTGCAGAACAGAAAAGAAAAAAAAATCTGATGCCTACTACAGGGATTGAACCTGTGACCTTCGCTTTACGAGAGCGACGCTCTACCACTGAGCTAAACAGGCACGTTGTTCATAGACAGAAAAAACTTCTGTCATCAGTTTTACTCAAACAAAAAAATTCTTTTTTTTTTTTTTTTTTTTGTTATTCTACCTTTTAGTTCATTAATGAAACTTCAGCATATAAATACAAAGAGATCGATACGAATGATTGAATCATCGCATACAAACACCAAACAAAAAAAAAAAGAAAGAAAGAGAACTACCCGCTATATGACCTTTTTTTTTTCGTACACATCTATATACATAGCCATTCAAAGACAGAACGAATGTCTGCACAATACTGTTGTTGACAATTGTAGTAAGAACGATAAACAGAAGAAAAATATTTCATTATTGCGTTTGCACAATCCATGATAAGCATGAAAAAACTTTTATTCCTTCTTGTTGTATGTCTTCTTATCTCAAGTAAGATTATTTTGAACAATTATTAATAATCTTGTTTCAATAAAAAACTTTTTATTTTGTTCAAGTAACTGAATCAAATCGTCATCGTCGACAATATAATTCATATAGACATATTCAACAATATGGAGATCAATATGGACTTTATGGACCGGGTGGACAAGGTTGGGTAAACAATTATAATAATCGTTATCCAAATCCAAATTATGCTTGGAATACTAATTATAATTGGAATCAGGGTCATCGACGTCCTGAATGGTATTATAATTCAGGAAAAACAATACAACCATCAATGATTTGTTTCATTTTTTTTACTTTTTCATTTGTTTTTTCTTTGTAAAAAGTAAAAACATAGATTTTATATTTCACATTCTTTCTATTACAAAAAAGAAAAAAAAAAGATAAATTGATTATTAAATAATTTATAATTATTTTTTATCTGTACGAACAAAACAAAAAGAAAACATCGATAAAATTTTAACGTGACGCAAAAAAAAATAATCCACTCAAAAATGAGTAAGAGAAAAAACAGTTATGACTAATCAACAGAAAAAAAAAACAATGCAGGTTGTTTCTCTCAAGGTGAATAATTTATTAATAAAAAAAAAATGAGTAATCAATTTTGTATTCAATATCGTATGAATGTGTGATAAAAATTTTTGCATCTATGTGAAAATTAAAAAGTTTTCAAAAGATAAAACAAATAGAGTTTATTTTGATCCTTCTTGAATACTATCGACGATTACAATACAAGTCATTCGATATCGTTATATCGATTTCACTATGTATATATTTTAGAGTTAATCCAAGATAGTGAGGATGTCGTGATTTTTTTTCTAAGAGAATACACGAAAGATTTTTGGTTGTGTAGAGAAAAAACAAAATATATTCTTGATTAGGAAGGGATATCACACCTCTGTGTACATTTGAATAATTTTCTATTCATTTAAATGGTTGAGTATACTGTTTCTTTAATAGATATTTTAATCTCTGCGAATGGAAATATTTTCAATATTAGAATTGAAATTTGTGGTTTTTGTTTTTATTCTTGGTTATCTAAAATTATAATTTTATAGTCAATTGAAATCAAATGCTTTATAAATAGATTAAATATCTCATGCTACATTATAGGAAAAATGTCTGAATTCTAGCGCAAGTATAATAATTGAATTATTAAGTACATGTTAGCAAAAACTTAGCCTGCAACGGATGAAATCGACTTAAGCTGATTTTAAGTAAAGGTCACATGTTGATATATTGATAATTCCGTCTATCTCAACTATTACATGTTGAACTCAATCTCACATGTATTATAGGCAATCAAAAATACCAGTTATATAAGATTTTTCAAATTATATAGAACATTGATTTCCTCTACGAGAAGTTTTCTTTTTTAGAGATCTAACAAACTAATCATGAAAAATATTTAAAACATGTCCTAAATAATTATTTTTTATAAATGATGGAATTAAAGCGCAACTTGTGTGTTGACTACATTTGAAAGATGCTTGAATGTCCTTAGTCAAACTTTTTTCAAAAAGCGTCTGGTATCTTCTTCTTTATACAGACGATTTTAAGTTGACTTTTATTGGATGTTCTTCATCAAAGACATACAACTATGTGACCTTGTCGCATACACCATTGAGTATTCTTGATTATTAGATCCTAATTTAAACAGTGTTCATCACTTCTCATTATTTTATCAAATCATTAATGGGAATAATTTTTTGCTTTCTTCAATGGTGCTGGCTGTTTCACGAAGATGAGTATAAATATAACTGATTGTATTGCGCTTCAAAATAGTATTCAAATTCTCTTATATGTTATTTAGAAAGTAGAGTTACATCTCATTGTATAATGAATAATCATCTTCTGAAAGAATCTTTGAGAAAAACAAGAAGTATCAGTTCAATAAAAATAAAGTATGAGCAATATACGTGTATTTTCACGACTCTCTATGCATTGTGTTCTCAACATGTAAGCCATTTCTTTTTCTAGAATTTATATGTATACAGGTAGAATAGGACATTATATAACGAATTGAAAGACAGCTTTTATAATAATCATAAAAAGCAATACCATCGAAGGAATTCGACAGTCGGAGATTAGAGAATATTGATGGTTTTCAATAATCTATATATCAGACGAGGTGATTTTGACTTGGGTCATGTCGTTTATGAAAGATCAAAGCTCGGACTATCTTTTATTTCAATTAGTCTTAATTTTTTCATTCAATATTCTACATAAAAATTCTTAAATAAAATAATAATAATAAAGTTAGTATGTTTATTAAAGAATTCAATAACATATTTAATAATTGAATATCATCTTTTGCTAGAATATGTCATTAAGACTATTGTTTTTCATTGTATATCACCTGGATTATAATATAATATAGTTAATGAGTCAAAATTAAATTATTATCTTCTAAAACAAATGAAATTTGTAGAGGTTAATACATTTCTTTTCTATAGGATAAAAATTAGGAACCAATGAAATAATGTTCTTATCATCATCCCGTACCCTACTGGGCCAAAGAGAAAATATCATTTTCTATTCTGTTGTCAAGAAAGATGTTTAAATAAAATATGGTCACATTAGATCGACTCGTATTACTTTCAACAACATTATTTGCTACAGCTGCTCTTCTTGTTCTTATTAGTATTTCAAGACCAAGATGGATTTTATCTGTCAATCAAGGTAGACAATAAATA